GTAGTTGGATTCAATGTTTACTCCATGAGGTACAACCCATGCCTGATACTGCTCTGGTGGTCAAGAACCTGAGACTAGATAGGTCATGGGCCCAGTGGAAATCTATATATTATTTCTGCTAAAGGAACACAGCAATGAAATGACCTATTGACATTCTGTTATACCCATAGGTCAGTGTCCTGCTTAGCTTCCATCAGAGAAGCTTCTTGCTTCAGTAGATAGGAACTAATACAGAGAATCACAAGTAGACAACGTACAGAGAGTGGGAGACCTTGGAACATTCAGCCCTAAAGGGAATATCTTCATTAAACTCCTCCTTGAGGGCTCAGGATCCCTGTGGAAGAAGAGAGGGAAAGATTGTGATAGTCAGAGGGATGGATGACACCAAGGAAACAGTGTCTTCCAGACACTACAGAATTGATGGAAACAGGAAATCACAGAGACTTACCTAGAACTTGCTATGTAACCCAGGCTAGCTTTAATCTTATGGTCTTCTTGCTACTGTTTCCCCAGTTCTGGGATTACAGATGTGAATCTCAACTCTTTATCATGATATTTTATTTATTTTTGTTTCTTGTACTTTACACAGAATACTGGGTCTATAATGTACATCTTATATATATACTTTCATAATTCAGTACTCTGAATCTTGGAAGGTTCTTTGATTTCTGTTATTGCTATTGATTTTCATCCACACACAAATATTTTTCCTATGGATGGCAAAAATATCTATGATGTTGTGGTCTATAGGTCTTTCTAAAATTATTGCTTGATTTGGGATGGCTATGCCCCCTTCTGGCAAAGTTTTTATCTGTTCACTATGTCAGCACGAACACCTTGACTCATTTCAATATAGCTAATTTCTAAATTACCATAGAATATGCATTTCTGGAATAAACACTGTTTGGCAGTGTTTGTCTACAGCCATGACTTCTTGGAGAAATTTGGTTTCTGTTTTTTAAGGAGATGACACAATTTTTATTTCCACTACTTGTTTCCCAGTCCTAGGATGCATTTGGTTTGTTTTATTTCCTTTCCATTTCCTCAAATTTAGAGGCTCTTTCAGTTATCAAAGTGGTGGGGGATGATACTTGCTAGTTTCTGCTGGGTTTATCTTTGCTTCAAGATTAAAGCTTCTCTGATCCCAGGCTTAAATTCATGACCCCCATGATTTCCACAGAGAGAATTCTGCCTTTTTCTTTGCATCTCTGTCCTATATTTATCCTGAAACTGGAGGCCAAATGTCTGAGACACTGTTCATTGTCCTCAATGCAAGAGTGGCTTTGAGGATGGGTGATAACAAATTTTGACCCAATGTCCCTCCTCCCCTATCTCTCTCCCTTCTTTTATTGCATGTCTTCTTACTCTGTCTCCTAATTTGTTGTTGCAATTTTTGAGAGCATATCTTATGATTTCCCTAGGACTGACAATCTGAGATAGCACTCCTCACATTCCTGATTTAAATATGTCTTGAATTTTAACCCACAGCTGTTATTAGAGCACCTAGTAGATTTTTCTTGGAAATGCTGTAAATGGATCCCTTTCAGTGATTGTTCATGCTCTCATTGATGGTATTTTTGCCTGTTGATTGACACCAGCTGCTCTCACACAAACTCCCTAGGCATTTGCTTTTGTATTTGCTGACTGCTTTGCATGAGCCCTTCCAGCCCAGCCCAGCTGCTCAGAATTTATAACCAAGGGCTTTCTCATGAGAACTGCATCATACAGCAGGTGGAGCAAGATGGAGTCACAAACTCAAGTTCTCATGTCCCTGCTGCTCTGGGTGTCTGGTGAGAAGTTAAAGAATATTATAGTTATTTCAGGGTCAGGGCATAATATTTCTTACATAATAATACTTTGACAATGTGACATTATAAGAACATTGAATGACAAATCAACTGTCAAAATGTGTGTTTGTGTTTCTTTACATGTTCATTGTCATTTCATGGTCACAGGTATCTGTGGGGACATCGTGATGACTCAGTCTCCATCCTCCCTGGCTGTGTCAGCAGGAGAGAAGGTCACCATCAGCTGCAAGTCCAGCCAGAGTCTGTTTGGCAGCACTAGCAAGAAGAACCGCTTAATCTGGCTCCAGCAGAAACCAGGGCAGGCTCCTAAACTGTTGATCTACTATGCATCCACTCTGGACACTGGGGTCCCTGATCGCTTCATAGGTAGTGGGTCTGGGACAGATTACACTCTCACCATCAGCAGTGTTCAGGCTGAAGATGTGGCAGATTATTACTGTATGCAGGATCATACTTTTCCTCCCACAGTGCTTCAGCCTCCAACAAAAACCTCCTCTGAGAGTCTCATCAGCTGCATGCACCACACAGCCCTGGACCTGTGCACTTCCCCCTTCTGCCTGAGAGCCAGTGTGACTGAAACACTGATGTGAAAGTTTGCTGAGCCAAGTAAAACATAATGGGTTCAATGTCTCATGTCTTTCAGTATAAAAAAACGTATATACGGAAATTCAGGAAGGAACCCAGAAAGAATCTTTCTGTCCTTCTGTAATACATTACCACAAATTCTGTTGCTTCAATATTAGAGATTTGTATTTTTATGGTTCTCGATTTCTGGTGTCCAACATATGACTCTGTTGGCTGAAGTGATGATATAGGCAAACATCACTTCAGCTTGCTGCTCTAGGAAAGTTTCTTTTCTTTTTAGCTTTTTTTTCTACTTCTTACTGCTGTATATTTCTCAAGTTTTTCCTGTCCATTTTTATAAATTCTTTTAATTTTAAATTACATTTTAGTTAATTACATTTTTTGTGCATGCAAGCATGCATGTTTATATGTGTGCAGGTTCACAAGTGCAGTCAGGACAACTTAGATGTGAGTCTTTCTTTTTGTGATATGGGTTCTGGGGATAAATCTCAGGTCTGACATAAGGCTTTGTGGCAAGAGTCTTTGCCATCTGAGCAATCTTGCTTCACATTAATTTTCTTTTTAATGTATATTCATTGCATACAAACACCATAAAAGATGTGTCTTTCAAGTATGTCATATATTTTGACCATTTCCATTGATCTTCCTCATTTCTCCTTCCCTTTTCTGCTGTTACACATTTTTATATTATCCATGTTATGTCTTGTATTTTTATCAGATATACATATATACATAAGTACATACACACATTTGTACACATATACCACACACATATCCACATACACAAATACACACAAACATGCACATATGAAATCATGCATGCATATAGAGATACACATACATACACACTTATATATGTGCACACACAGACTTAACAAACAACATATTTAGGATTCACAAAGGAATAAATATGTGATATTTGTTGCCCATGTTTCTGGGGCTACATCTCCCTCTGAAGACCTCTCATCTGTTTCCAACTGTGGAGACCAGGTACCCTCTATGCATTCTAATGTTGGATGTAAAGTTGTGTTAGCATGTGCTGCTCACTAGTCTTTCTATCACATATTGATTAATAGAATTTAGTGTTTTTTTATGGCTAACCATCAATATATTCCTTTAATTTTTTTCTTTTATTTTACAATACTATTCAGTTCTACATAACAGCCACAGATTCCCTTGTTCTCCCCCTTCCTGCTCCCCTCCCCTTACCCCCAGCCCACCCCCATTCCCACAACCTCCAGATCAAGGCCACGCCCGAGGACTGAGTCAACCTGATAGACTCAGTCCAGGCAGGTCCAGTCCCCTCCTCCCAGATTGATCCAAGAGTCCCTGTATAAGTCCCAGGTTTCAAACAGCTATCTCATGCCTCGAGCCCAGGACCTGGTACCACTGCCTAGATGCCTCCCAAACAGATCAAGTCAATCAACTGTCTCTCCTATTCAGAGGGCCTGATCCAGTTGGGGGCTAGGGACTGGAAACAGTCTTTAGAAGCATTCCCCTAGTTCCTCAGTTAGCACTAACTTCATACTTCCCACAAGCTCCCAATAATGCCATTTAATTATGACACAGCAATGGATAAAACTAGTAATTGAGTCAGAGCACCCATGATCCACACTCTTTCAATCCTTGGAGCCATAAGTTCAGAACCAAGTATTTATTTCACATGAGAAGCTTTTGAGTCACACTGCGGAAATGGTCTGTAATACCAAAAAAAAAAAAAAAAAAAAAAGACAGTGGAAGGACATGCAAGTGGATTCATATTGGAATAATATATGTAGAACAGGAGAATAAGAATCTCCACCATGAATTATAAAAGAGATAGAGTGTATTTTACCTTAGAATAAGATAACAATTTGAACATTTTGTTGACACACATCAAAGGGTATGTCTGTTTTGGGAGCTTGAAATGTTGCTGCCTTAACCATGGGTGCAGGTCACTCAGCTGAGATTAGGTTCATATAGATTGCACTTGGTTTTCTCTTGTCCTTGCTCAGAGCTCTTTCAGTGGTTATGGAACATGGTCTGGAAGTCAGAACAGATCATGGCCTTCTAATCAGTTCCTACTTGTGTTTTATAGACTAGCATTCAACACTGATCATTTGATTATGGATGCTTTTAGGAAAGTTCCTGTGGCAGAAAAAGAACAGAGGCATGTCTGATTCAGCTTAAGTTAAAAGCTCCCTGGCAGTGAGCTCAGTGGGGAAGGTGATGGCTGTATAGATCACTGAGTTTCTCATGATACTGACACATTTGTATTTTTTTAACCAACTAATGAATTTCTATCATTGCAGCAGCTCATTTGCCCATGAGCCCATGCCTGAGATCTCCTGGAGTGGCGTGAGAATGTCCCCTCATGTTTAGACAGAGAAAACAGAAATGGTGTCCCCTTTATCTTTGACCAGCATCAAAGACATTCCTTATGAGTATCTCCAATTTTCACCAACCCTTCCCACATACCTCTCTTGGTCTCTTTAAAGTTCATGATCTTGCCGGGCGGTGGTGGCGCACGCCTTTAATCCCAGCACTCGGGAGGCAGAGCCAGGCGAATCGCTGTGAGTTCGAGGCCAGCCTGGGCTACCAAGTGAGCTCCAGGAAAGGCGCAAAACTACACAGAGAAACCCTGTCTCGAAAAACCAAAAAAAAAAAAAAAAAAAAAAAAAAAAAAAAAAAGTTCATGATCTCTTTGAATTGTTATACATGTACTTATTTGTATACATATATAAATATATTTCTAAATATAATATATAAATGCAGCCCAATCCATCCATATAATATAACTTGTATGCATGCATTTTCAGTGTTAGCCATTTGATATTCGATAGCCAGTTAGTATAGTCTTCCCTGAGGTGACTATTTCTCCTAATCTCAGCATTCCTTAGTTACCTATATTTCTATGTCTAGGTTTTATGGCTCCTGAGCTCTCCTTTTCACATTAGTGTCTATTGATGTCATTCTTGTTCAGTTCATGTTTAGACAGACATGTTGATGAGACTTCATGTGTGTAGCTTCTGACATTCTTAGCAGAAACAACCTCACAGAAAACTTGCTGTTTTTCTGACTCATACGATCTTTTCTATTCCTCTTCCTAAATGATCCCTAGGCCTTAGGTGTAAGAATTGTGTTTTAGGTGTCTTAGTTGTCACTAAACTCCTCAAGTCTGTATTTTGATCAGTTGTGTTTTTTTTGTACTAATCTTCATATGTTTCAAAGAGTAGTTTCCCTGATGAGGAGTGAGAACTGTGCTGATCTTTGGGTACAAGGACATTAATAATGTAGTTAGTGATTATGCTGCCTTAGTAAAGTGATAGTTGTAGGTTCTCCTTCAATACCTCTGACTTCACTAACCCCAAGTAGTTGGATAGGTTTCCAATACCAGGGATAATGTTTTTCTTGTTGAACAGGCTTTAAGTTTGGTCAGAGAACTATTGGTTACTCTCAGGATATGTGTATGATTACTATAATTGTAGGGTTATTGTGCCATGGTTGTCATTATTGTGGTTCATAGGCATTATAGCTAGGAAGGATTATTGGTTGCTTTCCTGCTTTGGAAGCTTCTATGTTGCCTAAAGCTAGTCTTCAGAGAGTGTGCATACATGCCCTATAAAGCTTGGGTCCTCTGGGTCTTGTGTCCAAAGTATAATAGGGACTTACCTTCTTCTACCTCTGGGTGGAGATCAAGGACAACAGCAATAGCCTAAAAGTTTTAGGAGCCTCTTGAACAACTCTGAGTAACAACTCAAAAGACAATGTTTCATGGCTGATATTTTTCTTTTTTTCTTTCTTTGCTAGTCAATGGTTCTTGAGGAGAACATTGTCAGCATAAATGAGAAATTTCATTAAAATATTATATTTAACCCCATAGATCTCTGTGTGTTCAGGGATACAGCCAGCATTGGAGACATATGCCTTTAAGACCTGGAGGGCTGTACATACAGACAGTGACGAGGCAGTCATGTGTTTGGGTTTACAACCAATGAGAAGGCAGAATAACTATGAAACGACTTACACACAGGGAAATAGCTCTCTTTCGGGAAGCTGGAACCATGGCAGGAGGAAGGGTGAGATTTTAGCTCTGAGCTCTGACCTCTTGGCTTTCTCTTAAAAAAAAATTATATATGTATGTATATGGTGTATACATGTACAGAGTTATATGTAGTATAGGAATTTTCAATTAAATAGTTAATAATATGATTGCCTGCAAATTTCAGATATCTATACTGTTACTTTACTCTTTAATCTCCTTTTTCTATATTTCTCCCACTCTCTACTTAATTACAGCACCTATTTTCCACTTTAGATCACTTATACCCTTCCCTTTCCTTATTTATTGCTTCTCTTCTTCACACTGATTTCTTTTATATGTTTCTGGTTTTCTGCAGTTACTCCAGGTTATATACTTGAATGTGGATTTGGAGCTAGAGGTTTCTGATGTTTGTCTCTCAGGGTCATCCAATATGATATTTTCTAATTCCATCCATTATGTTCAAATGAAATTTTTCTTTATAGTTGTATAATATTCCATAATGTATATATGCAACATTTTAGTTATCCATTCATCCATTGTGGGACTCTTAGGTTGTTTCCAATGAACATGACTGACTGAGCGAGTATCTGTGGAATAGGCTGTTGATTGAGTTTTTGGGGCATGTGGAAGAAATGGAGTAGTTTTGTCATATTTATTTTGTAGTTTTATTTGGTTGTCTACATAGATTTCTGGAGTGACTAGACTGGTTTATAGTTCCTCCAACAGAGAATGAGATTTATCTTTTCTTCTCATCCTTCCCAGCTTTTCTTTCATTTTTTCCATTGATCTTTGCCATTCTCACTGGGGTAATATAAATCTCAAAGTTATTTTAATTCTATCACTAATTGCTAGGAATGACAAATTATTAAAGATATATCTCAGTTATTTTTATTTCTGTTCTATTTTGTGATCTCAGTTATTTTTATTTCTGTTCTATTTTGTGATCTCTTTTCAGATCGCAAGCTAATTTTTTTGAATGAA